TAAAGGGCCCTAATCTGTCATCATTATAGGGCCCTAATCTGTCGTCATTAAAGGGCCCTAATCTGTCATCATTAAAGGGCCCTAATCTGTCATCATTAAAGGGCCCTAATCTGTCATCATTAAAGGGCCCTAATCTGTCGTCATTAAAGGGCCCTAATCTGTCGTCATTAAAGGGCCCTAATCTGTCATCATTAAAGAGCCCGCTCCGTGCGGGGAGGGCGAGCAGACAGAGCGAGCTCAACGCTCACATCTGAACATTTCTCAAAGTCAGTTAGTGCAACAAAACAAGGAATAAAACCAGGATTTCTATCTTTGTGAAAAAGGTGTTGGTTATAGATTTGTTGTTGACAAAACTCTTGTCTATTCAGCTGTTATGGTCCCAGCTGGATTCGTCTGCATATCTGGCAACCTGAGTCAGGGAGAGTGGGAGAGGCTGCAGTTATGATGATAATAATAATGCATCAGTTTTATAAAGTGCCTTTTCAGACTCTCAAAGTCTCTTCACATTATTCATTCTCTCCAAACACGGTGGTGATAAACTACTGTAGCCACAGCTGCCCTGGGGCACACTGACAGAAGCGAGGCAACCAGTCTGTGCCATCGGCCCCTCCCACCACCACCAACCATTCACACACACACCAGACTCATTCTAGGCAATGGGGGTGAAGTGTCTTGCCTAAGAACACAACCACAGTTTGGCACTTTACAGCCGCAGCCGCCCCACTGTGGCTCCTGCTGTTCCCAGAGGTTAAGTGTCTTGCCCAAGGACACAACGACAGCAGACAGTGGGAGTCGATGGTGAAGGTCGGGCTCGAACCCATGACCTTCTGGCTCAAAGGCAAATGCTCTACACACTGAGCTACTGTACCACTTTTGGCCACATTTTTACATCCTTCTCCTTTAATGCTATTGACATCAAATTCACACTAAATGAGAATTGATAAGATAAGATAAGAATTCCTTTATTCGTCCCACAGTGGGGAAATGTCGATGTTGCATCGCACATATAGGACAGTAGTAGGAGCACACAGGGATCACACACAATATATACACTATATACAAATTAGTAGCTATGTTTCTTAACTAACAGAATTGCATCCTTCTTGATTGCTTGCTTCCAGATTTTAATTATATATGGTTTGTGTGTGCATTAGCGTAGCACTGCAGACTCCCGCGGTACGCTGCCAGTAACCTCCTTGAAAATCTTTGAACAGCTGTTGAATTTTCCTCTCTTCCATCATGTTGTGTTTCAGTAGAAGCCGGTGGTCCCTGCTGAGTGTGTGTGTCATGGGAAATATGAATTAATGCCAAACCGCCGGTGTGCTGCTCTTATGCGTCATTGCCCGAGCAGCTTGGTTCCTCTGTGTTCCTCTTCCACTGCAGGCACCGTTTTAACCAGGCCTTGTTTATGGTCGCCTCTCCCGGGACCTGCTTACCAACACACACACGCACACACACACATACACACACACACACACACGCACAACTGTCACGTGCATTAACTAATAAAACAAATTTGGGTTTGCAGATTCTCATTATTTCAGTTTGAAATTGATCAAGAATTGTGGAATATTGTCTTTATCTTTATGTAATTATTTTTAGTATTGATTCTTGCTTAAATTGGCACCTAGTTTCTAAATTAAGTAAGTAATCTTTATTTATATACCGCCTTTCACAGACCAGAGTCAAAAAGCGGTTTACAAGTGTTATTCTGGGGCACTTGTCTCTCACTCCACACAGAGATGGGAGCGGGGCCAGTACAGGAGCCACATGCCAGAACTATTGTACATATTCAGTTAAAAGAACATTTCGAAACAGTTTTACGTCAAAGCAATTTTTTCCAGGAATCGGATCTTTGATGGCTCCGTTATGTACCGGAATTCTTCCATTAGCTTTAGGAACGCGGAGGTTTTCACAGACCCCTGAGGAGAACTTAGTATAGTGTAGTATATGCAGTATACAGACCCCTGAAGAGAACTTAGTATAGTGTAGTATATGCAGTATACAGACCCCTGAGGAGAACTTAGTATAGTGTAGTATATGCAGTATACAGACCCCTGAGGAGAACTTAGTATAGTGTAGTATATGCAGTATACAGACCCCTGAAGAGAACTTAGTATAGTGTAGTATATGCAGTATACAGACCCCTGAAGAGAACTTAGTATAGTGTAGTATATGCAGTATACAGACCCCTGAGGAGAACTTAGTATAGTGTAGTATATGCAGTATACAGACCCCTGAAGAGAACTTAGTATAGTGTAGTATATGCAGTATACAGACCCCTGAAGAGAACTTAGTATAGTGTAGTATATGCAGTATACAGACCCCTGAAGAGAACTTAGTATAGTGTAGTATATGCAGTATACAGACCCCTGAGGAGAACTTAGTATAGTGTAGTATATGCAGTATACAGACCCCTGAAGAGAACTTAGTATAGTGTAGTATATGCAGTATACAGACCCCTGAAGAGAACTTAGTATAGTGTAGTATATGCAGTATACAGACCCCTGAAGAGAACTTAGTATAGTGTAGTATATGCAGTATACAGACCCCTGAAGAGAACTTAGTATAGTGTAGTATATGCAGTATACAGACCCCTGAAGAGAACTTAGTATAGTGTAGTATATGCAGTATACAGACCCCTGAAGAGAACTTAATATAGTGTAGTATATGCAGTATACAGACCCCTGAAGAGAACTTAGTATAGTGTAGTATATGCAGTATACAGACCCCTGAAGAGAACTTAGTATAGTGTAGTATATGCAGTATACAGACCCCTGAGGAGAACTTAGTATAGTGTAGTATATGCAGTATACAGACCCCTGAAGAGAACTTAGTATAGTGTAGTATATGCAGTATACAGACCCCTGAAGAGAACTTAGTATAGTGTAGTATATGCAGTATACAGACCCCTGAAGAGAACTTAGTATAGTGTAGTATATGCAGTATACAGACCCCTGAGGAGAACTTAGTATAGTGTAGTATATGCAGTATACAGACCCCTGAAGAGAACTTAGTATAGTGTAGTATATGCAGTATACAGACCCCTGAAGAGAACTTAGTATAGTGTAGTATATGCAGTATACAGACCCCTGAAGAGAACTTAGTATAGTGTAGTATATGCAGTATACAGACCCCTGAAGAGAACTTAGTATAGTGTAGTATATGCAGTATACAGACCCCTGAAGAAAACTTAGTATAGTGTAGTATATGCAGTATACAGACCCCTGAAGAGAACTTAATATAGTGTAGTATATGCAGTATACAGACCCCTGAAGAGAACTTAGTATAGTGTAGTATATGCAGTATACAGACCCCTGAAGAGAACTTAGTATAGTGTAGTATATGCAGTATACAGACCCCTGAGGAGAACTTAGTATAGTGTAGTATATGCAGTATACAGACCCCTGAAGAGAACTTAGTATAGTGTAGTATATGCAGTATACAGACCCCTGAAGAGAACTTAGTATAGTGTAGTATATGCAGTATACAGACCCCTGAGGAGAACTTAGTATAGTGTAGTATATGCAGTATACAGACCCCTGAAGAGAACTTAGTATAGTGTAGTATATGCAGTATACAGACCCCTGAGAGAACTTAGTATAGTGTAGTATATGCAGTATACAGACCCCTGAAGAGAACTTAGTATAGTGTAGTATATGCAGTATACAGACCCCTGAAGAGAACTTAGTATAGTGTAGTATATGCAGTATACAGACCCCTGAGAGAACTTAGTATAGTGTAGTATATGCAGTATACAGACCCCTGAAGAGAACTTAGTATAGTGTAGTATATGCAGTATACAGACCCCTGAGAGAACTTAGTATAGTGTAGTATATGCAGTATACAGACCCCTGAAGAGAACTTAGTATAGTGTAGTATATGCAGTATACAGACCCCTGAAGAGAACTTAGTATAGTGTAGTATATGCAGTATACAGACCCCTGAAGAGAACTTAGTATAGTTTAGTATATGCAGTATACAGACCCCTGAAGAGAACTTAGTATAGTGTAGTATATGCAGTATACAGACCCCTGAAGAGAACTTAGTATAGTGTAGTATATGCAGTATACAGACCCCTGAAGAGAACTTAGTATAGTGTAGTATATGCAGTATACAGACCCCTGAGGAGAACTTAGTATAGTGTAGTATATGCAGTATACAGACCCCTGAAGAGGAGAGACTGTGTATTTTATGAACCCAATAAAGTGGAAAGTGAAGTGCATTTTTTGTTATATTGTCCTTTGTATGATGAATTTAGAAACGCTTTGTTTCATGAAATGTTCTCCCGGGATCCTGATTTGTTTTTGGGCAGTGATGATGACAAGATGAAATTTTTATTTGAAAATCAAGTGTTTAAAGTGTCTTCATTTTTAAGTAAAGCCTGAAAGAAGCGGCAGTCTCATCTATTTAAATGAGAGCATTTGTTTATGTGCCTGATGTTGGCCTGTATCTCTGTATTTGTGTAAATGGTGTCTTATAACCCTATGTGGGCTGAGCGTCCTTGTATGCAAGACACTATAATAAAATATTATCTATGTACTTTTGACAGCCCTAGTCTGCACACAGAAAGATAATGGAAAGGTTAAATTAAAGTAGCCCTGACACAAGAATCAAGATTTTTTCCCAAAAGCTCTTCGCATTTCAGAAAGAAAATAATATTCTGTTTATGCTAAAAGCTCTTTCTCATTCTGCCTCAGTGTTTTTGGTTGGGTGAGCATTACAGCACTAAACACACGCCACAACAGTTTTAACCTCTAAAACTTTAATTGATACAGAGGTGAGAGACACTGTGATTAAAAGGTTGCTGCAGCTAAATTACATTTTTTTCTGAAAATTATATTCTATCTTGAGGCCGAATTCAGGGTCTGATGAATTATTTCAGCCGACAAAATCTCAGAGTGAAATCAAACTATGGTGCAAAAGATGGAAATAATGTACAGTATTTCTTTGTTTTATTATTCTTTTCATGTCTAATATGTTGTGCTGTGTTTTCCCAGAATGCTGAGGTATCGGTGTTTGAGGTCAACATCCGTTTCATTGGAGGTCTACTGGCCGCGTACTACCTCTCAGGACAGGAGGTAAGAAGTGCTAATGTTTATGCTATATGTGCTAAAGTGCTAATGTGCTAAAGTGCTAATGTGCTAATGTTTATGCTATATGTGCTAATGTGCTAATGTTTATGCTATATGTGCTAATGTTTATGCTATATGTGCTAATGTTTATGCTATATGTGCTAATGTGCTAATGTTTATGCTATATATGAACACAAGCATTGGTGAAATAAAGCTGTGTGTAAATCGTAGTTTAGAAAGTTGTGCGCTCTCTTCACTCAATCGCCTGGTAGTAGAGCTGGTAGATTCAGATTCATTTATTTGCCATTTGCAGTAAAACCACATTGGAATACCTTTGCAAGAGTCCCCAGCGTGCACCAGACAAGTACATACATAGAACCAGATTAAAAATACATAAAACTAAAAACAATAACTGTTTCAATACAAAGGCAAGATCATTAAAGTGCTCTGTTCAAACTGATAACAGCTGTTAGCATGTTAGCATGTTAGCATATCGAAATGTCCTGTATCTCAGAACAATATCTTTTGCCAGAGGGAAGAAGCTGGAACATGGCTTTTCCAGGAGCCAGAAAAGTAATTGATTATTCTAAGAGCTCGGTTTAAAAGTCTGGTTTTATAAAGAACCTCCAGAACAGGTGGCTCACAGTCCTCTCTGGTCTCTCTCTCTCTGGTCTCTCTCTGGTCTCTCTCTGGTCTGGTCTCTCTCTGGTCTCTCTCTGGTCTCTCTCTGGTCTCTCTCTCTCTGGTCTCTCTCTCTGGTCTCTCTCTCTGGTCTCTCTCTCTGGTCTCTCTCTCTCTGGTCTCTCTCTGGTCTCTCTCTCTCTGGTCTCTCTCTGGTCTCTCTCTGGTCTCTCTCTCTCTGGTCTCTCTCTGGTCTCTCTCTGGTCTCTCTCTCTCTGGTCTCTCTCTCTGGTCTCTCTCTCTGGTCTCTCTCTCTGGTCTCTCTCTCTGGTCTCTCTCTGGTCTCTCTCTGGTCTCTCTCTGGTCTCTCTCTGGTCTCTCTCTCTGGTCTCTCTCTCTGGTCTCTCTCTCTGGTCTCTCTCTGGTCTCTCTCTCTGGTCTCTCTCTGGTCTCTCTCTCTCTGGTCTCTCTTTGGCTACTCTCTGTTATCTCTCTGTTCTCTCTTTGGTCTCTCTCTGGTCTCTCTGGTCTCTCCCTCTGGTCTCTCCCTCTGGTCTCTCTCTCTGGTCTCTCTCTGGTCTCTCTCTCTGGTCTCTCTCTGCTCTCTCTTTGGTCTCTCTGGTCTCTCTTTGGCTACTCTCTCTGGTCTCTCTCTCTCTCTGGTCTCTCCCTCTGGTCTCTCTCTCTGGTCTCTCTCTCTGGTCTCTCTCTCTGGTCTCTCTCTCTGGTCTCTCTCTCTGGTCTTTCTCTCTGGTCTCTCTCTCTGGTCTCTCTCTCTGGTCTCTCTTTGGCTACTCTCTCTGGTCTCTCTCCCTGGTCTCTCTCTCTGGTCTCTCTCTCTGGTCTCTCCCTCTGGTCTCTCTCTCTGGTCTCTCTCTCTGGTCTCTCTCTCTGGTCTCTCCCTCTGGTCTCTCTCTCTGGTCTCTCTCTCTGGTCTCTCTCTCTGGTCTCTCTCTCTGGTCTCTCTCTCTGGTCTCTCTCTCTAGTCTCTCTCTCTGGTCTCTCTCTTCTCTCTGGTCTCTCCCTCTGGTCTCTCTCTCTGGTCTCTCTCTGGCTACTCTCTCTGGTCTCTCTCTCTGGTCTCTCTCTCTGGTCTCTCTCTGGCTACTCTCTCTGGTCTCTCTCTCTGGTCTCTCCCTCTGGTCTCTCTCTCTGGTCTCTCTCTCTGGTCTCTCCCTCTGGTCTCTCTCTGGTCTCTCCCTCTGGTCTCTCTCTCTGGTCTCTCCCTCTGGTCTCTCCCTCTGGTCTCTCTCTCTGGTCTCTCTCTCTGGTCTCTCTCTCTGGTCTCTCTCTCTGGTCTCTCTCTGGTCTCTCTCTCTGGTCTCTCTCTGGTCTCTCTCTCTGGTCTCTCCCTCTGGTCTCTCTCTCTGGTCTCTCTCTCTGGTCTCTCTCTCTAGTCTCTCTCTCTGGTCTCTCTCTCTGGTCTCTCTCTCTGGTCTCTCTCTCTGGTCTCTCTCTCTGGTCTCTCTCTCTAGTCTCTCTCTCTAGTCTCTCTCTCTGGTCTCTCTCTCTGGTCTCTCTCTGGTCTCTCTCTCTGGTCTCTCTCTCTGGTCTCTCCCTCTGGTCTCGCTCTCTTGTCTCTGTGGTAAATTCTCTAAGTTTATGCAAAAGTAGACACGCCCCCAGTACCATGGCTGTGTAGGCGATGAATGTTTTGTTTATGTTTACCCATTAGAAGCTGCACGGTGGCTGAGTGGGTAGTGCTCATGCCTCACAGCAGTAGGTCACGGGTTTGATTCTCTGCTGGCCCTGGTCTTACTTTGTTGAGTTTGCGTTCCTCCCGGTGTGGGCAGATCCCGGCTCAAAAATTTCCAAAATGACATGCACTGACATGCTGCAATACCACCCCAGGCCTGTGGGGGTAGACCCGGTATAAGAATCAGCCAATGCTATTGTGTTGCATTTTCTTACCTCGAAAACAGCTTTACAGGATGTTTGTGCAAATCAGTAAATGTTATTTCAGATTCAGACCTTGCTCCAAATCCATAGAAAATCACGAACCATTGAACAACATGGCCGCTTTAGCACTTGTACAGTGAAGCTGCAGAGCGGAGAGATTGACTGCAGGATTTGAGAACAAGCGCCAATAAATGCTAGGAAGAAATGAGGCGTGAAGTTAGACGGGAAAGAGTGGAATAAGCCAGAATAATAATCAAACTAGAGCCACTGGAAAAACATTGAAAAACATTCAAATTCAGAGGCGGAAAATACAGAGTCATATTTGTTGTGTTTGAATAAAACTCTGAGCCTTTAACCTCTCGTGATACTGGTCGATTATATAAAATACATGTGGGTGGATCTCTGCCTCTAAAGCATGTATCCAAAAGTGGGTCTTGGTCCAAAAGTGGGTCTTGGTCCAAAAGTGGGTTTCGGTCCAAAAGTGGCTCTTGGTCCAAAAGTGTCTCTTGGTCCAAAAGTGTCTCTTGGTCCAAAAGTGTCTCTTCGTCCAAAAGTGGCTCTTGGTTCTTGGTCCAAAAGTGGGTCTTGGTCCAAAAGTGGGTCTTGGTCCAAAAGTGGGTTTCGGTCCAAAAGTGGCTCTTGGTCCAAAAGTTGCTCTTGGTCCAAAAGTGGCTCTTGATCCAAAAGTTGCTCTTGGTCCAAAAGTGGCTCTTGGTCCAAAAGTGGCTCTTGGTCCAAAAGTGGCTCTTGGTCCAAAAGTGGCTCTTGGTCCAAAAGTTGCTCTTGGTCCAAAAGTGGCTCTTGATCCAAAAGTTGCTCTTGGTCCAAAAGTGGCTCTTGGTCCAAAAGTGGCTCTTGGTCCAAAAGTGGCTCTTGGTCCAAAAGTGGTTCTTGGTCCAAAAGTGGTTCTTGGTCCAAAAGTGGTTCTTGGTCCTCTTCGTTCCAGATGCTGTCGATTTTGAGGGGAGTATATTTCTTGGACCAGTCTACTTTAGCCGCTGTGGACTTCTGAATGCACTCGTGAAATGAATGAGGCTAATGCAGCTAACACATATGCGTTTTTTCAGTCCCCGCGGCCATTTAGAAACTGCCCATAGACCGCGAAAGTAATGTTACATTAGTTTGAACGGCGGTGATAGGCGTGACTACATCCGTTAATATTTAGTCTGTTTTCTCCCGATGTCTGGGAGGTTTTTTTCTCTGCTCTCTCTCAATAATCTGCAGCATAGATAAAAACCCTCAGGTCTGGTATTCATGAGCAAGCTGAGCATTTTGAGCCTGAACCATTTTGAAATACTGACACAAAATTCCTCTGCCTTGTTGTGTCTGAAACCAATGTAGTTTTTTGAATTGCTTAATGTTTCTCCCGGAGCCAGGAATACACTGAGCCCTCCCTTGAGTTTAGGCTGAAGAGGCAATTTATTATTAGTCAGCTTCAGCCGTCAGATCAGAGCGCAACACGCCGATGATGAGTGTGCGCTGTGAACCACTGGAAGCTGCTTATGGAGTAAATTACAGCAAAACAAGAGATGTAATGTATGAAGTGATGTGACAGGGTCTTGTTACAGCAAAAAACTCCAAATGTGAGATTGTTAAGACTCAAAAACATTTCCTGCTTTCTCACAATGGTTTTATTTATGCCAGTTCTACTCTGCTTCCACTTTGATTACCTTTGTGACATGTTTTGGACATAACTGGATCATCCCTTTGTCTTTTTCATCTAAGTTTTAATGTTTAGCCCCGCCCCCAGCTCGCTCACAGGCTTCTCATTTCCCCTACGCTCTCATCCCAGCCATCTAGTTTTATCTGCGATCTGATACATATGCTAACATTAGCATTAGTGCAACTTCTTGTAAGCAGTACAACAATCACTGATGAAATGGTACAAAAGCAACGCACTGCTAACACAATATATAAGTAAAAGAATACCGCTAGTTTCACGTCCGAATGTAGTCTGAGCGTAGATAGTACCAGTATATATAGTCTGAGGATAGATAGTCCGAGCGCGGATAGTCCGAGCGCGGATAGTCCGAGCGCGGATAGTCCGAGCGTGGATAGTCCGAGCGTAGACAGTCCGAGCACAGTCCCGCAGGTCTCTCCCATAGACAAGTCTCTCCAGAGGATACGATGTAAGCTCGGGCTTGTTTTCTTCTTCCCTTGTCTCTTCCTCACTGTTGTTGTTTGGACTGTTTTGCTGTGTCTGCAGTTATAGCCCCTTTCTGCTGTGTATACCTGCACTGTAGGCGCCAGAGGAGGCGTGGCCTAGGGAAGGCGTGGCCCAGAGGAGGCGTGGCCTGTTTGCAACAGAAGGAGAACAGGCGTCACGCAAAGTTTCTACTCAGCATTTTTTATGACCTGAATTCATACACAGCTGAATCGATGAGCTCAAGTTTTAAATTAAAATTCAGGTTTTAACACTTCTTCATTTTTATGAACTCATTAAAAAATAAATCAGGTATACTTCCTTTAACAAGTAAACTTATCTA